AGTGCGTTAGTGCGTCCGTCTCAGGGGTTGGGTGCACCTGCCCACCTGACAGTTGGTCCTGACGACGGTGTCTGTGCGTCTCCGTGTGCACAGGCAGGCACCTTTGGCTTGTGTGCATGAGTGAGGCTCTATCAGTTGCTCTCTGCGTGCACACGAGCAAAACTGTGCAAACGTAGACTTTCAAGTCTGTGTGCGCTTGTCCTTATGTGTACAACCCACGTACTCATATGGATCCTCGTGTGTGCGTGTGAATATATGTGCACGTTCGTGCGTGTATTTGTGCACACGTGTGTGCACGTGTCTCTGCATCTACTAGCGTGCGTTTCTGCATGCACGTACGCGGGTGAGTCTGTGCTCCTCGTCTACTCGGCGCCAGGCACGTGCGAACGTGCCCGCGCACGCTGCCGGCTGAGCCCGTGAGCGCGCACGTGGGGACGGGTGAGGGGGCGGGCTGGGGGGCCCTCCCGGCGGAGGCGGTACCTCTCCGTACGTGAGGGTGTCGTTGTAGGTCCTCATCTCCGGGTATACGTTCTCCAGGTACCACTTGAAGCTGCGGCATTTCAGCCGCTGGCGCAGGGCCAGCCGCTCGGACACGTCCCCGAAGTCCACCCCTGGGTTCTGCGAGCGGGGAAGCGAGGCCGGAAGGGAACTGGCGTTGCTGAGTCCCCACGACCCAGGTCTCTGCCCAAGGTGGGGGAGCCTCAGGACCCGGGCGCAGCCCCACCCCCCAGGGCGTGGCTAGGGGCGGCCTCCTCGGCTTCCTGTCCCCCCAGACCCTTGGAGGCCTGGGTAGCTGTTCCGGATGGGAAGGGCCTGCTTCTCCAGCCAGCCTGCTCTGCCCCAGGCTGGACGGATGGCCCCTGACTGTGGGCTGGCTGTCCATACCCTGCACACTCCAAACAAAAGACCTGCCCTTGGCCCCCCGCCCCTGGGAGGTGACCTCTAAGCCCTTGGAACATCCCGCCTGATTAGAGTGTTGTTTACCTGGGATCTGGGCTGGACAGTCTAGGCTGCAGAGTGATGTCTGGGGGGCTTGGGGCCGTGGTGGGGTATCTGCTTGACTTCTGCAGGGGCTAGAGACTAAGGTCAGCCCTGTGGGAGGCTGGCCATGTGTGCATGGATGAGCCCCCAGGAGAAACTGAGGCTTGGGTGGGTGTGCCTGGTCAGCAGTGTCACATGGCATCACCGTGAGAGGTGATGATCACGCTGCTCATTGGGCACAGTGACTCTTTTTGGGGTGCTGTCTTTGGAACTAGGTAGTGTCAATGGTTGTACGGCTCTGCGGGTTTGCTCAGCCCCGGGGACGGCACACTTTAGAAAGGCCGAAGAGGTAGACTTTCTATCATGTGTATTGACCACAAAACCCAAGCAGACCCCACGCATGTCCTGTGGGCTGGCGGGCAGTGAGCTGGGGCTGTCTGTCTGACTCCTGGGAGTCTGTATCCCTCACTGCAAGAACCCGTAACCCTGAGCACAACAGCTTTGCTGAGTTCTGGGTCCTTCTAGCAACACTGAACCTGAGGGTGGCCTTGGGGCCCCTGATGCTGCAGCGGGCACCAAGCTCTGTGGGTGTGAGCGGGTTTGAGCAAGTGCCTTCCCCTGGCCAGGGGGCCTGTGGCTCCACCATCGGCCGCGGAAGGTGTGCTGCCCTTGGGAGCCCCTCTCCCTCATCCGCGTGGTGGGCGTGGCCACAGAGAAGCTCCTCCCAGCCTTCACACGAGGATCAGGTGAGTCATGGGTGTGCAGGGCCCCTAGAGGTCCCTGAGAATGAGATGTGAGGGGGCATCTGCCAGGCTCTGGCTTGGACCTGGTGACCGCTCACAGACGCAGCCTGCAGGCCCATGAGGACAGTGCCCGGGTTCCCTTTCCAGTAGCAATGGGAACGTTTCTGGAATCTGTTCCCTTGGTGGACAATGAGGCTTTGTGAAAGACAGTGAGCCCTCCTTCTGTCTCTGATAAACGTGTGTGCGTGTGCTTCCATGGCATTCCTCATCAGCTGGAAACTGCTGTGTGAGGAGCCCGTGGGGAAGGAGGGGGGCTTGAGCGGCCCCTGCTCCCTCCTCAGAGGGGTCCTGTGAGCCAGCGGCCCAGCCTGGCACTCGGGCAGCACCCCCCAAATGCTGGGCATGCCCTGCCAGGGTTTAGGAGGTGCAGAGAGAAATGCACGTAACAGACATGAGTGCTGTTTCTGTAACTTCTGTATGTGTTTGAAGCTCTCTATGTTGACAGGTGAGCACGTGGACGGGGCACACACATGTGCACAGGGTCTGACAGAATATCGAGCGCTTACTGTGAGCTGACGTAAAAATCATTTCCAGGATGGCTGCAGCCGGGGCCTGGAGCCTCGCACCCCCTGTGGCGGGGGAAGCAGCATGTGAGTGAGGGCTGGTTCTGGAGCAGGTGCTGGGAGGGGGGGGAACCTGGCAGCCTCGACAGCGTCCCACGTAAGGGGCCGCCTCTCTCCGCCCTCATTATTGTTCTGGAGACCGGGGAGCGGGTCTTCTAAGTTCCCAAGAAAAGCCAGAATATGGGCTATTTAGGGGAAATTAGTTGATCACAAAGTAAACAAAAAACACAAACAGCAACCCCTAACTAGGCTGTGGTTTGGTCAAAAATGCATGGACTAAAACCAAAGACGCAGGGAGCACCCAGGTGTCCGTGGCGGGTGGAGGGGTAAACCAACTGCGGCCATCCACACCCTGGAACGTGAGCTGGCCACGGAAAGGAAGAAGTATTGATACCCCACTACAACGTGGACGGACCTTGAGAACATGATGCTCAGCGAAGGAGCCAGACACAATGGGGGAAACACTGCAGGATTCCGTTTATGGGAAGCGTCCAGAACAGGCTGGTGGTTGCTGAGGGCTGGGGGCAGGCGAACGGGAGTTAGCCGCTCATTGGGCACAGCGACTCTTTTTGGGGTGCTGTCTTTGGAACTAGGTAGTGTCAGTGGTTGTACGGCTCTGTGAGTTTGCTCAGCGCCGGGGACGGCACACTTTAGAAAGGCCGAAGAGGTAGACTTTCTATCATGTGTATCGACCACAAAACCCAAGCAGATCCCACGCATGTCCTGTGGGCTGGCAGGCAGTGAGCTGGGGCTGCCCCGCGCCCCAAACCGGCCGCGTGGTGGGCGCGCTGCTTTGCCAACACATTTCTGGGTGCGTTTCTAGGTGGGGGGGGGTCGGCACAATGCGCAGCGAGTGGGGAAGAGCTGACCCTCACTTCATCGACAGCGCCTTTGGTGGATGGGAAAACACACCAAAAAGCGGGGGGGCACCTAATTGGCTGGGCCCGCTTTCGGGGAGCCCTGTCCCAGACTAGCCCCACTCGGGACAGGGGCAGGTGCAGGGGTGGCCCCAGGCTGCCCGGGGGTGCACCTGCGCCCCTGGCCAGGCTGGCCTGGCCCTCCCCGCCTCGGCCCCGACCCCGCCCCACCCCAGCCCCGCCCTCTCCCCCTCCCCTGTCCCGGCGCCCCGCCCCCCGTCCTCACCCCGCCCCCTCCCGTCTCGACCCCGCCCTCCACCCCAGCCCTACCCTGCCCCACCCCAGGACCGCCCTCTCCCCCTCCCCCCCCTCGGCCCCCCCCCCCCCCCCCCCCCCGCCCCCCCCCCCCCCCCCCGTCCTCACCCCGCCCCCTCCCGTCTCGGCCCCGCCCCGCCCCTGCTGGCCCCCACTTACGGTCATGGGGATGTTCCAGGCCATGTACACATGGGACTTGAAGCTGTCCATCCACACCTCAGCTGCCCGCAGGGCGTTGCGCTTGGCATAGTAGTCGATGTCGTTGTTGTAGGGCTTCTTGGTGCGCTCGATGTGGGCCACGCGGGAGCAGGGGAGCACCTCCATGCTGCCGCCGCACTGCCACACCTGGGGGCACCGAGGCTGCTGGGTGGCCCGCGCCCCTGTCCACAGCTTCCAGAGGGCGCCGGCCTGGGGCTTGTTCCAGGGAAGACGGCCCCACAGGAGCCGTGGCCTCGGGCTACGTGGTGCCGCCCCTTTGGGTTTCTTACCAAATTTCATCCCCCACCCCACCCCAGAGCCTGGCCCCGGGGACTTACACACCAGCAGCTGCCCCCAGCGGGCACAGACCTGCGATCCAATTTGAAAAGAGCACGCCAGCCCCACCACACACCTTCATCCGGCACTTGCCTTACCACACAAACCCTGCTTCGAGCACCCCAAACACACGCTCTTGGGCTAAAGAGGCGTCTTAGAGCTGCGTCCTCGAAAACCCGAAGACCCTCGCCCACGATCCCCTCTGAGGCCTGCCCTGGTCTGTCTTGTCTCAGTGCACAGCCTGACCATCCTGACACCTTTCTGGGACTGCCATTCCTCACTACAGAGCCTCATCCTCCTTCGGAGATGACAGCAGATCTCTGCCTCCTCCCTCATCCGACTTCGCCTTCAGGAAGCAGAGGAGGGAGGGGGAATCTCACAGCTGAGGATCGGGGGCCCCTCCGGACACCACCCACAGCCGGAACAAGTCATGTCTGGGCAGGTCGGACGTCCCGCGTTGGGGGTGGGGGGAGAGGCTGTGGGTTCCTCGTGGTCTGGTCTCAATTCCCAGAACGCAGCGGCCACCGTCTCCCGCTGCGGGGCTCCCAGCCCGCCCTGGACCGCCAGTGTGCAGATGGTGCACAGAGCCCAGGGGCAGCTCCTTCACCATGATGGTGCAGACCCTGCCCCGGGATGAGGGGCGTGGGCTGAAGTTTGCTTCTCCGTGCTGAGCACTGAGTGGCCTACCCTGTGTCCTGCTTCCAGAGCCTGGCGCCGGGATGACGCCGGCGGGGGCTTCCGTGCAGCTAGCCCGGGGGGGGGGGTGTCGGGGGGAGACTTCCACCACTTCTGTTCACAAGACTCCGGCCGGACTGCCAGGAGGCTGGGAACGCAGGTGCACACGTGGTGAGCCAGGAATCTTCCAGAAGGCAAACACAGAGCGCAAGAGTGGGAGGCCTGCAGCCTTGCAGGGACAGCACCATGCTTCCCGCACACCTCCTGCAGCTGCCACCAGTGGGTCTCTGGAGGGGCCGCCACGCCTCAGCTGCTGTCCCTGCCCGCCGGCCCTGAGCTCCCAGGGCTCCCCGCTCTCACTGCCCCCTCTCCCTCTGCCCTCCCCACGCCCCCAGGGCCTGTGCACCTGCTCTTCCCTCTGGGGGAACACCCTGCCCTGATCTCTGCGCCAGGCAGCCCACAAGCCTTTGCTCACATGCCACCCCTTCGTGGAGCCCTCCTCACCCTCCCTTCTGAAGCTGCTGCCCCTTGGGCCTCCTCGCTGTGCTGGTCTGTCCATCCCACCAACGCGTGAGCTCCAGGACCACCGCCTGGCCCGCCGCACTCAGAACACAGCCCGCACACGCCGGTGCCCAGGAAACAGTTGTTCGATGAATGAATGAACTCCCTCTTAGGAATTTGTTAGCAGCTGCTAGCCCCGCGCTGCCCCACAGGACTTCCCACAGGACCTGGGCGGCCAATATGGTGGCCACCGTGCCCTTGAAATGTGGCTGGCGTGGCCTAGGAGCCGGTGTCTTTATTAGACGTTAATTAATTTGGAATTGATTTATGAAGCTGCGTGTGTCTAGTGTACCCACAGGACAGGATGGCTAGAAAGGTCGGATCTGGCTCAGTGGCTTCAAGCTTTAGTCACGTGAGGACAGCTCGTGGCTTCGTGGGGGAGTTCAGGACCCCTTCAGATCCCTGCCCCTTTCTGGGTTAAACTGGCCGCGGAGGGAGGGAAGGGTGCCGTGTGGCAGGGCAGCGCGTGGCCCCGAGCCAGGACAGAGTGCACAGGAAGTGAACAGGTGAGCCAGCCCCGGGGGTTCTGGGCATCAGCGCATGGGTAACTTCTGTGTGGGGCAGGAATGAGGCACGTGGAGGTGATGGTGCCACAGCTCCAGAGCCTGGCTCAAGTCGCATCACAGACCCCATGTTCCCGCCCCCCCGCGGCTACAGGTGGCCGTGCCAGACCGTTCTGCCCAGTGAGATGAAAGCAGACGTCTCAGTGTGGGGCTTTCAGGAAAGCTACGATTATGGACACGAGGTCCGGAGGGGTGGCAGCCGTCTTGTGGCCATGAGGCAACACAAGGTCTGTACCCTAAGGACCGCCGATGGAAAGTTAGGGCCTACCAGCCGCACGCTTTGTGAGAGGCCTGGATCCCCATCTGGTCCAGCCTCCCTTAGTGGGTTTTCCATAACGGAGTTCTGAACAGAGGAAGCTAGACTAGGAAGTGGTGCTGGGACCTGCAGTGGCGGTTAACTGCGTTCTTGTTACCAAGGCACCGAGCGGTCACGAGACGGGCCCAAGGTCACACCGTGGCTTCATGGGGGGAGGGGCAGGGAGCCAGAACTATTGTGGGACCCCCCAAAGCTGCCTCTTCACCCAGAGTGGGGGAGCAGAGTCACAGGGCCTGAATGTGGCTGTCACACCCAGAATGTGCATCTCCACCACTAATCATCTCAATCAGCTTGGTTAATTGGCACCCAAACAGAAACAGCAAACATGAAGGGGAGGACCAGGTGTCAGTCTGCGGGCAGCTGCTGAGGGAGGAAGCTCAGGGGCAGGGGACACCCTGGGCCCCCCCAGAGCAGAGCTCCTCAGACGTCGGAGCCAGGGTCTGAAGGTGGGTTCCAGAGCTGTCCTCTGCCCTTGCAGGCGAGACCTACTGCTTAAAAACCCGGGAACTGTGACGGGTCAGTCCAGGTGCCAGGGAGCGGCTTCTCCAGGTCAGACCGCGCTTGCGGCCTCCGCAGGGCAGGGTGAGCCCGCAGGGCTGGGACCGAGTGCCGCAGGGGCCTGGCTGGCGCATCGGGGCACACACAACACCCGAAGAGGGTGCCCTGCCTCTCGCTTGCTTCTCCGTTCTCTCTGCACCCCTGCACGACCAAAATGGCACTTTGGTGGAGTGCCCGCTGTTCAAAGGCCAGCGCTTCCTGCGCCGGTGCAGGAGAGGGAGAATGGGCACCACGGCGTGGCTCCGCCCTCGTAGGCAGGGCGCCTGGAGGATGTGCCCTCCATCATCCTTACAGAGCCGCTTTCTGGACTCTGACTTCATTTAATGTGTAGCTCGGCCGCCCCGCAGCCAAGAGCGGGGCACCCGCCCTGAGCTGACCCGAGAAGGGGCACCTCGGCCAAGTGCACAGAGCGGGGCCTCCGGAGAGCTGTCAGAGAGGCTGGGACAGGAGCCCCCAAACGTTGCTGGTCATCAGAATCTTTGGGAGGAATTTAGAATCCTGTGGTCCAGGCCTCACCCCCGATCGACTACATCACGCACACCCACACTCACACAGGCACACCCACCCCTCCCGCCCTGGAGAGTGGACACTCGGGAGCCCAGGGCCCAGCGCAGCGGCCTCCTGGAACAGAGGCAACCCCATGTATCAGCACGGGGAAGCCCGAGTTAGGAGGCCGGGGCCTCCTCAGAGACCCGTGACTCAAGGCCTTCCGAGCTGGCCCCGTGCAGCATCACTGTGGTCTCAGCAGGGGATGGAGGGGTAGGGGTCCGGACGCCCACTCCCCTGACTCACAGTTGACCCCGTAGGCCTCACCACCTCTCTGGGAAGACCCGGTTGGAAACATTGGTTGCAGGCAACCAGCTCTGGCCAAACTGAGCTCCTGAGCGTTCTGTGGGAGGGGGGTCCACGGGAGGACTGGTCGGTGTCGAAGCTGGAGAGGGGCAGAGCGTGTGCTACAGGTCCTGGGTACTCAGAGCAGCCTGGGCCTGCAAGCGGTGCGGACGGTCAGGGCCCCGGCGCTCCTCCGTCAGATTCTGCATTGTGACCTTGCAGAGAGCGGTGGGGAGGGGACACTGCATGGGCCAAGCTCCCATTCACTTCCCAGCCCCCCTCGGCTTGGGCCACAAAACCAGGCCAGCCCAGCAGCCCTGGAAATGCAGGGACAAGCTGGGCTGTGGGTCCAGGCCGGGGACACCTGTCCTAAGGATTATTCAGGAGGGAAGGCTGCCCCAGTGGGGGGTGGGGAGAAGAGGGGGTGGATTCTGGAGTGCTCAGCTGCACGCACATGGCCGTGACGCCACGACAGGCTCGTTCAGAGGGGCCGGTCCTGGGTTCCTGCGTTGCATGGACAGGGCAGGCGGGGTGGGGGGACCATGCTATGTCTGTAGTTCCACTGCCTGCAGAGAGTCAGGGCTCAGGAGGGAAAATGGGACCTGGGCCTGGACACTAACCACGTCTTTTAATATCTGTATCTGATGCTTTGACATCTGGGGCCTCGCTGACCCTGGAGGGGCGGCCCCTCCCGGGGCTAGCAACCCACCCAAGGGGCTCCTTCTGTGTGCAAACCACCCAGCCCCCTCCACCCCTGCCTCCGACCCTGAGCAACCCTGCTGGCTTCCCAAATGTCCTGCATGGCCTGGCGTGCCCCTCCTCTGGGCCCCTGGATGCCCCACGTGGCCTGGTGTGCCCCTCCTCTGGGCCCCAGGGAACGAGCTTGGTGGTGGCCGAGCCCTGACCTGCGGGCCCACCACACCTGAATAACAGCAGGGCTGATAGCTGCCTGGGGACCCAACCCGACCTGCAGGGCCTTGGGCCCCATTCCCTTTGTGGCCACTTCACAGAGGCGCCCCTACTATTATCCTATAGCTGTGGTGGAGGGAGCTCCTGGCCTGGGCAAAATCAGAGTGAGCTCTTTGAGGGTGAGGAAGTCGACAGCCAGGAGCTGTCCACTGGTGTGAACGAGCTCGTCTTGTCTGCATCCTCCTTATGCGCTCTGGTCCAGCCCACAGAAATCGCACTTGGGAGGAAATGCTGCACAAAGGCCTGGGATTTGCAGGCCGAGGGGGCGTGGGCCTGGTGCCTTCCCAGCCACTGTGGCAGAACAGAAGAAGTTAGGGTTCACCCGCGGCCTGCCCAGAATCCTCCCCTCTTTCTCCCAGGATTTGCAGGTGACACAGCAGGGGCTTTCTGGGACAAAAATAATCCCTTGCTCGGGGATGCATCGTGGTGTGCGCAGATGCCTTCAGCGTCCAAACTCAGGCTGGGTGGAGTGCGTCTCCATGTGCCCTGACGAGTTCAGGTAGGAAAGACTTTCTGAGCATGGCCCTCAGCTCCTGGTGACACTGTTTCATCAGTAGCTGCCTTGACTGAGAGTGTGCCATAAGCCCTCCGAAGGACATGTCCTTCCCCACTTCCTTCCCCCATCCATTCGTTCACCCATCCATTTACCATCCTCCCATCGGCCCACCTATCCATCCATCCATCCGTCCATCCGTCCACCTGTCCGTCCGTCCACCCACCCATCCATCTGCATAGTCCAAACAACCAGCCTGACTATCCAGGCACGGTGCAGAGCTGTACTATGAAGATGAGGCTGTCAAGTGGAGAGGTGAGTAAGCTCAGCCTCCTGGCCCAAGCCTCCAGACCAAAGCTGCCAGGGACCAGGCATCCAGCCCCACAGGCATCTCACCTGGTGCAAATCCATCAGGTGCCAAGCCACCATCTTCCTTTTAGCAGTGCGAAATTTCCCCCTCCAACAAACAACCACAGCTTCATATTCACTCAGGAGAAAACTGTGTGTATGACTTTTACAGACTTTGCATCTGAACCTAATTTAAAAGATTTACAATCTGCTTGATGCCCCTCCAGCCTGGGCCCGGAGCAGCCACGGGCTGATGTCTCCCCCTTGTCACCCGGACCCCTTGCTCTGCAGGAGCAATCCAGCTCCAGGGGCAGAATGGACTGGGTTTAGTTTTGGAAAGGCAAGTCCCATCTCCCGGAGCCCAGCTGGGCTCAATTCATACATTTTTGACAAGAAAACGTCTCTCTGGGACGCTCTGTGTACACACACATATGCGTGCTCTGTTCCCGGTGCCAGACCCCAGAAACTTCCGAGCTGGGCTTTCATTCCAAGCTCCTGCCATTTGTTTCCCTTAACGTGTTGAACACCCTAAACAAACAGAAAGAAAGAAATGGTTTCCTTGCTTCTAAACGAGTGGATCTCAAAGTGTGATCCCTGGACCAGCAGCAGCCTCACCTGGAGCACTCTGGTCGGCTGCTTTGAGACCTGGTGAATCAGAAAGTCTGGGTGGGCTCAGGCCGGCGGTCTGTAGTTTGACAAGGCCTCCTGGGGATTCTGATGTCTGCGGAGCGTGGGGGCAGCTGTGCTAATTGCGTCTCTCCCCTTCATCCACCCTCGGAGCACCGTGGGCGTTGGGCACGATCCTCTTGGGACACTACTTGAGGGTGGGGCTGCATGTTCTTGCACAGTCTGTCCTCAAGCAGGGGTGAGGCTGTGCCTCCTGGGTCATGCCCCCCCACCCCGGTCCAAGCCCCCTGTTAGCTGGATGAAGTGACAAAGAAGGTATCCAGTCAATACCAGGGATGCGGAGATCTTCCCTGTCTCCCCCGAACACACAGAAACGGTAAGCACATTATCTAAAAGTTAAAAGCGTGTGTGGTTCCCCGCCACTCGGAAGGAGCGGGGGTGCGCTGGTGTGCGTGGGGATGGAGCTCCGGGGTGCAGGCACCTGAGCCTCACGGACGGCTGGGGACTGAGTGCAGGGCCCCTGCATGAGGCCTGGGGCTGGGCTGGCCGCCCCGACCGCGAACAGGGTGCAGCCAGACACAGTGGGACAGGAGGAAGCAGAGATGCACGGCACCTGGAACCAGGCGACTCGTGTGACAGCCGGGGGGTCTCAGGGTGAAAGCTAAGCCACTCAGTTTCGAGCCAGGGTCTGGGGGGCCGGCACGTGGTAATCTAAGGCTTCCAGCCAAGGACGGGTAAGCGTGAAGACAGGATGCCCGTACAGATGTACTGAAGACATGAGGAAAACCCAACCCCAGACGCGTCAGCCACCAACCCAAGACGGGGTTTGGGAAGGAGAGGGAAAGGCAGAGAGGGACGTGCGCAGACCGTGAGGCCGCCCAGCGAGGAGGGAAGGAGCGAGAACCGCTCACAAGAAAGGGGAGAGGGTGAATCAAAGCACGAAGGTCTAAGAGCAGCCACAGATGAAAAATACAAACAGAACATGCCGTAAATATGAAACATGCGCTCATTGGAACTAAGAACCAAAGCTAAAGAAGGCTCGGGCAGCCTCTGGACACGGCTGAGGAGAGCCCCCATTCCCTGGGACGTGGGGCTGAGAAGATCAGCCAGAGCGCGGGGCTGAACGGGGCCAGGACGGGGCGCGGGAGGCCTGGGCGCGGGGACGTCCCACCAGCTCTGCGGCTGGATGCCCAGGCCATGAGGCCACGGGCCAAGAACCCGGCGTTCTCTGCATTTGTGGAAAGACATCAGCCTCGGTCGACACCGTCTACCAGGATCTGAGGAGAAGACAGGAGGAAGGCACCGATGCGAGGGGTTGGGGGCCCAGACGGTCCCCCCCCGCGGCCACTGCTGGTGGCGTGCTGACCCCGGCAAGTGACATACAGACGGAGCAGGAGTTGCTTGAATGTTTCCAAAGTCCACGTGAAAAGGGGAAACACAAGACAGCAGCTAAGAAAACCCTACGGTAACGACAGGGAAGGACGCGCTCGCCGACACCACCCGTCCTATGACACGGGAGCGAGGGGACAGCTGTGTGCGCCCCCGTGGCACTCGGGTCGTGAGCAGGTGGCAACTCCCATAAGCGGGGAAGGATGGGGTATTTGATGAGTGGAGTGAGAAGCCTGGGCCTGCTATTTTGGAACAACAGAAGGAAAGGTCACAACCTTCCCTGGATAAAACATCTGTCCCGCGCGGACTCAAGCCTTTACTGTGGAAAAGGGACTGCAGGTGTCAGAAGGAGCTACGGTCGAGCAGCTGCTCAGACGGGCCTCGCTGAGCGTGACGGCAAAGGCGCTGAGGACCGGGGACACGCGAGCGGACACGGGAAGCCTCTGTGACAGGCCAGCAGCTTAAGTGACAAACAGGATGGCACCTGCATCACACCCCACGGGGCCGGTGTCCCTAAAATCCACCGGAAAACAAGGAACGCCATCAGAAAAAACTGGCAAAGGAAGAAACATACAGTTAACACACGTATGAAAAACGTCCATGCTCATTAGCAGGTGAAAAAACGTAAACTAAGCCAACAGTCCTTTGTGTCTGCCACATTTGCAAAAAAAGTAAAAACATTTATTTAATTAGATCTGTGTGCTATTTAGGCTTGGAAGACTGTCTCCCTCATGCACCACTGGTGAGAATGCACACACAGAGACAGACACACAGACACGCAGACACACACACGGACACACACTCACAGAGACAGACAGACACACGGACACACAGACGGACACACGGACACACAGACACATGGACACACAGACACACGGACACAGAAACAGACACACGCAGACAGACACACAGACACATGGACACACAGACGGA